TTGGAAGGTACCCCACACCTGGCACTACTGTATTTTTTGTCACTTCAAAGCACCTATGGACAGTCCTTTGCTTTTCAACACAAGAGTAAGCTCAGGAATGATTTGCTTCATTATAGGTCAGGCTGCCTGCAGATATAGACCCTTTCCTGTGCTGCCTTATTGCCAGTTACATTTAAAAGAAATTTTTTTTTAATGTTTATTTATTTTTGAGAGAGACAGAGACAGAATGTGAGTGGGTTAGGAGCAGAGAGAGAGGGAGACATGGAATCCAAAGCAGGCTCTATGCTCCAAGCTGTCAGCACAGAGCCTGACGTGGGGCTCGAACTCACAAGCTGTGAGATCATGACCTGAGCCCAAGTCGGACACTCAACCAACTGAGCCACCCCAGTGCGTCTTGCCAGTTACGTTAAGTACAGTATATGACAAGAGTTTATTAATTAATACTGTCCTGTAGTCACCATCTGTGCCAGTGTATACACTGGCCCCTATGCAGGAGAAGAATCCATTGAACCAGTAGATAACTGATTCTGTTCGTCATAGTGAAAGTCATCCTATACAATAATAATCCTCCTCTCTCTTCTCTCCTTCACACCAGCCATGAAGATTTTCAAAGGTAAGTGAAGGTTAATATGTTTATTTTTCTTTATTATTTTGCATTACAGTATTAACCTATTTTGTATGAATATTTTTGGGATGTACAACAAATCATCTGAGTTTCCATTGTTTCTTATGGGGAAATTCGCTTTGATATACAAGTGCTTTGGGTTATAAGCATGTTTCTTGAATAAACTATGCTCACAAACCAGGATTTTACCATATATTTTAATGTGTTGGGTTTTAGAGATACAAAGATGAATTCAGAGTCTCAGTTTCTGGTCATCATACACAATCTAATAGGGCAGGTATGCAGTGAGTATACACATTAGTTCAGCTTGTATCAGTCCAGCTTCTTTCCCTTCATGCCTTCTAAACATTACTAAAAGTAATCATTGATTGTCTACATGCTAAATTAGTCTTATTCTTAGCTTTTTACTTCTTAACTTTTTTGCTGCAGCTGATACCAGTCATTACCTCCTAATTTTATTTCCCTTTGATACTACCTCTGTTCCTTACCTCTGTTTCATTGTTGATAATTGCTGTTATTGATTTGTTATATGTCAAGCCTTGAATGAAGTACTTTATGAACTTTCTCATTTGATTTTCAAAACAAACCCTAGGAGTTAGGTACTATTAATTATAGTTGATGAAACTGAAGCACCTCACATGCTAAGTGGCAAAGTCACTTGCCCTAATCCTACCCTAGTGATTCAGAATTGGTCATTTATTTTAACAAATACTGACTAGGTGCCAGACCTTGTGCCTGGTACTAGTATACAGCTAGAATGAGAGAGATAGGATGTTTTTCCTTAAAGCTTAGTCCTCTTGCACAGTACAGAAAGTCAATAGGCAATTGAAATATACTATGAAATGTGATAGGGTCATATAGGTTACTAAATCACTTATTTACTTTGATAAGTAATTTCTCTATAAAATAGGAGCATTGCCATCTGCCACAGGTTTTGTTTTTGTTTTTTGTGAGAGGATTAAATGAAAATGAATAGGTGCTACATGTATTATGTTTGGCAGTCAAATGTTTGCTCTGAATTGCCTATTGGATGTTATCCATTTAGTTTGATAAGCACTTCACTTGTCTTAAAACCTAAGTCTTCCAATTTTCACTAATGTTCTTGTACCTTATTTTGGTTGGATAGCACTCAAGTTTCCCAACCCCAAAAATAAGAATTCTGGGCTCTCTCCTTTTCTCATTTCCAGACAGTTACCAATGTTTAGTAGTGTGGTGTTCTATAACAGAATTTAGAAATGTTAAGCTTAGAGGGCCAGATAAGAATAAGTAATGGCAGGGGGCTGCTGGCTAAGTCGATTAAGCATCTGACTCTTTATTTTTATTATTATTATTTTTAATGTTTATTTATTTTTGAGAGAGAGACAGAGCTCAAGAGGGGAAGGGCCAGAGAGAGAGGGAGACACAGAATCTGAAGCAGGTTCCAGGCTCTGAGCTGTGAGCACAGAGCCCGATGCGGGGCTTGAACTCATGAACCTTGAGATCATGACCTGAGCCGAAGTCAGACGCTTAACTGACTGAGCCACTCAGGCGCCCCAGCATCTGACTCTTTATTTTGAGTCAGGTCATGATCTCACAGTTTGTGAGTTCAAACCCAGAATTGGCTCTGTGCTGACGGTGCAGAGCCTGCTTGGGATTCTCTGTCTCCCTCTCTCAAAAAGAAGTAAACATTAAAAAAAAAAAAAGTGATGGGGGTTGTAGTACATTCTCCTTCCTTAAAGTGAGTGGTCACTATTTAGCTCCAGCTGATTGTGTGAGAAGGTAAGGCCATATTGGCAGGTATCAGATTTTTAAGAAATATTTTAATTTTTAATAGAAAATACATTCCTGATTCAAAATCCATAAGGATCGGAAATGTCCTTCTACCCCTTATTTTCTAGTCGCATAGTTTTTCTTCTCAAGTGGGAATTTATTATATGTTCCTCAAAGACAACCTTCTGCATATAAAAACAAATGGTATGTAGTTATTAATTCTACATTGTTGTATAAACGGTAGCCTATTTGACACATTTCTGAACATTTAGCAATATGTCTTGGAGATCATTCATCAGGGCATAGTTACCTTAGATTTTCCTTAAATTTTTTTTTTTTAATTTATTTTTGAGACACAGACAGAGCATGAACAGGGGAGGGTGAGAGAGAGAGGGAGACACAGAATCTGAAACAGGCTCCAGGCTCTGAGCTGTCAGCACAGAGCCCGATGAGGGGCTTGAACTCACGGACTGCGAGATCATGACCTGAGCCAAAGTCGGATGCTCAACCGACTGAGCCACCCAGGCACCCCTTCTTAATTTTTTTTAAATTTTATTTATTTTGAGAGAGAGTGGAAGGGCAGAGAGAGAGGGAGAGAGAGAGAATCCCAAGCAGGCTCTGCACCGTCAGTGCAGAGTCCAATGTGGGGCTCAAACTCATGAACTGTGAGATCATGACCTGAGCTGAATGAAGTTAGACACTTAACTGAGTGAGCCACCCAGGCCCCCCTTAACTTTTTATGACTGCCTTGTATTCTATTCTGTGGGTATCTCATAACAAATTTGCTATTGATAGACATTTGAGTTGTTTCCAGTATTATTACAAATAGTGCTACAGTGAATACCTTGTAATAAACCATGGACTAGTATATCTGTAGGGTGATTTATTGTTATTTTTACTTCAAAAATTTTAATTCCAGTGTAATTAACCTACAGTGCTATATCAGTTTTAGGTGTAGCAGTTTAGGTGTAGCAGTGAATATAGCAGTTCAATTCTATACATTACTCAGTGCTCATCACGATCAGTGTACTCTCAATCCCCTTCACCTATTTCACCCTCCCCCCCCCACCTTCCCTCTGGTAACCATCAATTTGTTCTCTATAGTTAAGAGTCCAGTTTTTTGATTTGTCTCTTTTTTCTTTGTTCATTTGTTTTGTTTCTTAAATTCCACATAAGACTAAAATGTTACTTGTTTTTCTCTGACTTATTTCACTTAGCATTATACCCTCTAGATCCATCCATGGTGTTGTAGATGGCAAGATCTTGCTTTTTCTTTTATTTATTTTGAGAGAGAGAGAGAGAGAGCAAGCACACGAGCAGGGGAGGGGCAGAGAGAGAGGGGGAGAGAGAATCCCAAAGAGGCTCCTGCACTGTCAGTGCAGGGCCCAGGGTGGGGCTCGAACTCAGGATTTGTGAGATCATGATCTGAGCTGAAATCAAGAGTTGGATGATTAACCAGACACCCCAAGATCTTGCTCCCTTTTTTTTTTTTCTTTAAGTTTATTTATTTTGAGAGAAAATGAGCCAGGGAGTGGCAGAGAGAAATCCCAAGTAGGCTCGCAGAGCCCAATGTGGGGGAGACCCGCAAGATCATGACCTGAGCTGAAACCAGGAGTTGGGGGCTTAACTAGCTGAGCCATCCAGGCACCAGGATCTTGCTCTTGTTTATGGCTGAGTAATATTCCATTATGTATATGTGCCACATCTTTACCCATTAAGATTAGGTTTAAAGAAATTGAGATATAATTGACGGTAGTTTCAGGTGTACAACATAGCAATCCAACATTCGTACATATTACCAAATGATCACCATGGTAAGTCTAGATAGGACTTTTTTTTCCCAGTTTTAAGCTAGCTCTTATAAAAATGGACAATGTGTTTAAAAGATTCTGGGCTTAGAAATGGTGGATTGAAGGTGATAATGCAAGCACAAATAGCAAGACAATAGCAGAATTGATCCTTTTATAGTTTGTATTCCTAGCTCTTTGTTAGCCACATTAGGTTGAAAACAATGGTTGTCAGTAGTAAACCCATTAGCAGATACTTTGAAAATAAACTGTTCAAGATAATGTTGTGTTGTTTTGTTTTGTTTTGTTTTTAAGTAAGCTCTTGGCCCAATGTGGGGCTTGAACTCACCACCCAGGATCAGGAGTTGTTTGCTGTACTGACTGAGCTAGCCAGGTGCCCTAAGATAAAATTGATCTGTTAACAAATGAGAAAGTAACTTTTTCAAAAGATACATGCTATGGAGAGAGTTGTTTGTATGTTTGTTTGTTTATTTTTAATTTTATTTATTTTTAAATTTATATCCAAGTTAGCATATAGTGCAATAATTATTTCAGAAGTAGATTCCAGTGATTCATCCATCCCTTATGTATAAATAACACCCAGTGCTTGGCCCAACAAGCACTTAATGCCCCTTAATGCCCCTTACCCATTTAGCCCATCCCCACCCACAACCCCTCCAGCAACCCTCAGTTTGTTCTCTGTATTTAAGAGTCTTTTGTCCCCCTCCCTGTTTTATTAATTAATTAATTAATTAATTAATTAATGTTTTATTATTTATTTTTGAGAGAGACCACGAGCAGGGGAAGGGCAGAGAGGGAGGGAGACAGAATCCGAAGTAGGCTCCAGGCTCCAAGCTGGAATGAAAAGACCCAGATATGGGGTTCAAACCCATGAAGTGTGAGATCATGACTTGAGCTGATGTCTGATTCTTAATCGACAGACACCCTGCCCCTCCCTGTTCTTATTTTTGCTTCCCTTATGTTCATCTGTTTTGTATCTTAAATTCCTCCTATGAGTGAAGTCGTAGGCCATTTTCTTTCTCTAATTTTTTTTTATTTTCTAGTAAGACTAAATTTATTCAATACCCTAATAAAAGTTTTGATTATAAGTATCCAACAGTATAAAAAGTACAAAACAGATTTGTAGATTTCTAATATATTAATACAAAGTGCATGACTACATATAGTACATCCTACAGGCAAAGAGGTGGAAGGGGAAAAAGAAGGCTGTGGTTGAGGTCTGGTAATAAATGAATACAGAAGTAGAGATGATCCATATTATAGTATATTCTACCACCAATACTGTAGCCAAAATGTACAAAAAAATAAAAAAAAAACCATTTGGAAACAACAGGAGGAATATGATAATGGCTGGGACTCTTGTAATTCACCTCAGAAGCTGTGGGAGAGCCAACCCAACTCATGGTGTAATCTGTGCATATGGTGGCTTGTAGTTTTTGCCATAAGGAAGAAATATAAAATTTTAAGTTTAGATTAAGAATTATAAAACTATATGGTGCCCGTAAAAAAATGGCTCACTCCTTACTGTTATTTATACTAATTTTTAAAATCCAGTTTTAAAAATAAGCACTGAGTCATGTTATTATAAGGTAGGCAAATGATCCTCCCTAATTATGAGAGGTCTGAACCGGTGATAGGTTATTCCTGAACGTTTAGAAAAGAGGCAATGACAGTACTTTGGTTTGGGTTCAGGTAAAAAGGCCTCAAATGAAGATTTTGGAATCAAAGAGCTCCATGTTCAGGATGCATCATCTAACATTTCAATGTTCACAAAGCCTGACTAAAAGAAGTCAAACCTAAACCAGCCCACTCAGCATTAACACACACTTCTTTTCTTTTAGAATTTTACTTTAATATAGTGGGAAAAAAAAAAAAACAAAAACCCCAGACCCTAATAGGTTAAAACCAGTCAAACAACCCCAACTCACTCTACACAGACAAAACCTTCACAAAGGTCAACTGAAGTAATCCAGAGCTAAAACTGAATTGCGCAGATTTTCAATGAAGTCCCCAGTCATGTAACACAAACAAAAGTCAATTATTTACACACTAGGCAAGCCCTCTAAGAAATGTGCCCCAAGCAGCATTAACCTTTGTTTTTTGTGTGTGCCATCCTGAAGACGTGCACATTTTTTTTAGATAATTTAACATTTTTAATAGAATGTGATCTCTACCATGCGGCAATGCTTTGGTTCTCTTCATTTAGGATTGCTCATCCTAAAACTTGACATTTCCCCAGAGGAGCTTTGATTCTGCTTTAGAAGTTTCAATATAGATTAAAATCTTTATCAAAAATGAATATGGAGGGAGGTGACAGAGGATGCAACATATACACTCAAGTTACCTCTCTGTATGTTTAGAAACTACTCCTTCGAGGCATTTGCACCAGAGAGCTTAGTCTGTCCTGCTTAATATTCAGTAGTACAGGCTTGAATCATCAGAACTTTGGCAAGACCTTAAATTATTGACAACTACCTCTTAGGGCAAGTCCATGTTACTGAGTTATGACAAATTTATTATCATGAAGGAAAACAAGTATAGCCAGCCATCTTAAAAATGCCCAACACTGCTTCTCAATATAGAAAGACTAAAACTACATACGTTTATCATACAACAAATCCCATCTCTGTCCCCTGAAATTCCCCTAGATTCATTCATTAGAAGGGGATTAAAAAAAAAAAAAAAGACTTAAAGAGCACTTTACAGCAGCATCAGCTTTCCTGTGAAATACTCAGCATCTTAAATATTATGTGTACTTTTTTTCTTTTAGTAAGCTAGACACTGGCTTCAGAGTTTGTGGAACTGGAGGAGAAATAACAACCCATTCAAAACTATTCTAGAAAGTGTCTTTTGGCAGAATAGCAGGTATCCAAGTTAAAATAGGAGGGTTTTGTTGCTTTGTTTTCTTTCCAAAATTTAAATCGTTTTTTTGTTCCCCTTCTACCTAAACCTCAGTCACCACTCCTGAGTGGAGATGGGCAGAGGCTCTGGCCCCTGCTCCTCCAGCTTCTCAGCAGCTGCTTTCTTATTGTTGCAGCAAGGCTTGAATAGATGTGTGTCAATGAGAACTTCTCCAAAACGGCCTTTATAGATAATCCCACAACGTATTTTCTGTCTTTTCCAGTATGTGAGATCTAAAAAGGAAAAAACTGGCGTTCTGTTAGAGCCAGAAGCCATCTCTGTATCTGAGCCATCATCTGACTGGTTACTATAACAAGGAGACTGAGCTGGGGAGGCACTTGAGGTGGTACTGTGAGCATCAGAATTGTGACGTTTGAATTCCTTCTGTAGTTTACTGATTTGGTTGCTTTTTATCATGTTTCCAGATAAAGTTTTCACTTTCTTTGGTTTCAATGTTGTCTTCAGACTGGGTCCTGCCCTTGCATCTACCACATGATTCCAGTTTTTTTGTGATCCTGCTGGCAATTTCTTCCATCTTTTCACAAGCAGGACACAGACATTACAGATGTCTCCTGAACCAGTCTCATGCGACCCAAAAGAGCTCTGGAAGTCCTTTTCATAGTGTTTACTGTCAGTGAATCGAGAACTGGAGGACTTAGCTCTGCAAATACAGCAGCCCTCTATACTTCGGTACATCTTTGGCTTGTGAAAACCAAACATCTTTTCTTCTGGGCAATAGTCTTCCAAAATCCTGTCTTTTTCTAATTTTGCTTAGCATAACACCCTCTAGCTCCATCCATGTAGTTGCAAATGGCAAGGTTTCATTCTTTTTGATTGCCTAGTAATACTCCAGTGTGTGTGTGTGTGTGTGTGTGTGTGTGTGTGTGTGTGTGTACGTACCCCACATCTTCTTGATCCATTCATCGGTCAGTGGACATTTGGGCTCTTTCCATACTTTGGCTATTGTTGATAGCGCTGCTATAAACATTGGGGTGCACATGCCCCTTTGAAACAGCACACCTGTTTCTACCTACTAGTGCAATTGCTGGGTCGTAGGGTAGTTCTATTTTTAATTTTTTGAGGAACCTCCATACTGTTTTCCACAGTGGCTGCACCAGTTTGCATTCCCACCAGCAGTGCAAAAGAGATCCTCTCTCCCTGCATCCTCGCCAACATCTGTTGTTGCCTGAGTTGTTCATTTTAGCCATTCGGACTGGTGTGAGGTGGTATCTCATTGTGGTTCTGATTTGTATTTCCCTGATGATGAGTGATGTTGAGCATTTTTTCACGTGTCAGCCATCTGAATGTTGTCTTTGGGGAAGTCTATTCCTGTCTTTTGCCCATATCTTCAGTGGATTATTTGTTTTTTGGGTGTTGAGCTTGATAAGTTCTTTATGGATTTTGGATACTGACCCTTTATCTGATATGTCGTTTGCAAATATCTTCTCCCATTCTGTTGGTTGCCTTTTAGTTTTGCTGATTGTCTCCTTTGCTGTGCAAAAACTTTTTATTTTGATGAAGTCCCAATAGTTTGTTTTTGTTTTTGTTTTTCTTGCCTCTGGAGACATGTTGAGTAAGAAATTGCTGCTGCCGAAGTCAAAAAGATTTTGCCTGCTTTCTCCTCGAGGATTTTGATGGCTTCCTGTCTTACATTTAGGTCTTTCATCCATTTTGAGTTTATTTTTGTATATGGTGTAAGAAAGTGGTCCAGGTTAATTTTGCTGCATGTCACTGTCCAGTTTTCCCAGTACCATTTGTGGAAGAGAGTGTCTTATTTCAATGGATATTCAATTCCTGCTTTGTCAAAGATTAGTTCGCCATACGTTTGTGGGTCCATTTCTGGGTTCTCTATTCTGTTCCATTGATCTGAATGTCTGCTTTTGCGCCAGTACCATACTGTCTTGATTACAGCTTTGTAATACAATACATCTTGAAGTCCGGGATTGTGATGACTCCGGTTTCGGTTTTCTTTTTCAGGATTGCTTTGGCTATTGGGTCGTTTCTGGTTCCCTGAAAATTTTAGGATTGTTTGTTGTAGCTCTGTGAAGAATGCTGGTGTTACTTTGATAAGGATTGTATTGAATGTGTAGATTGCTTTGGGTAGTAATGACGTTCTAACAATACTTGTTCTTCCAATCCAGGAGCATGGAATATTTTTCCTGTGTGTGTGTGTGTCTTCAATTTCTTTCATAAGCTTTCTATAGTTTCCAGTGTGTAGATTTTTCACCTTTGGTTAGAGCTGACAGAGCCTGGAGCCTGCTTTGGATTCTATGTGTCTCTCTTTCTCTCTCTCTCACCCTCCCCTGTTCACTGTCTCTCTCTCAAAAAAAAGTTTTAAAAAATAAAGATATTATTTGTATTTATAAATATATATAATTTATTATATATATTTTAAAATATATAAATATATAAAATATAAAAATTTATATAAATATAAATAAAGATATATTTACAATCCTCATTTACTGTTGTCAATGCTTTTTATTTATGTATATACAAACTTCTTTTTTTGGGTGTGTAGATCCAAATTTCTACCCGGTATTATTTTTTCTCTGTCTAGACTTCTTTTAGTATTTTTTTCATGAAGAGGATTTATTTCTTGTATTTGAAAGATACTTCATTAGCTACAAAATAGGTTGATATTTTTTTGTGTTTTGCCCACCCCTCCCCCTCCCCCATTTTAGAGATCTGATTACTATGTTTTGGCTTACATTGTTTCTAACAAGTTGTCATTCTTAAATTTGTTACTCTGATTATACAAGTCTCTTTTTTTTCCTTTTGCCTGATTTTTATGTTTTTTTCCCCCCCCATCACTGGTTTTCTGAAACTTTTAAAAAAGACTTTTATTTTTGGGGTGCCTGGGTGGCTCAGTTGGTTAAGCATTTGACTTCAGCTCAGGTCATGATTTCGCAGTCCATGAGTTTGAGCCCCGCGTCTGGCCCTGTGCTGACAGCTGGGAGCCTGGAGCCTGCTTCGGATTCTATGTCTCCCTCTCACTGCCCATCCCCTGCTTATGCTCTGTCTCTGTCACTCTCAAAAATGAATAAATGTTAAAATTTTTTTTTAAAGACTTATTTTTAAATAATTCCTACACCCAGCGTGGGTCTGGAACCCACGACCCTGAGATTAAGAGTTGCATGCCATACCAACTGAGCCAGCCACAAGTCCTTTTAGCAATTTATGAAATGCTTTGGTGTGTGTTTTTTCATATTTCTTTTGCTTGGGGTTTGTTTTTTGGATCTGAGATTTATGCTTTTCATCAAAACTGGCAAGTTTTCTGCCATTGTTTATTTTGTAAACTTACTGCTTATTGTTTTTATTGTGTTTGTTTTGGTTTTGCCATCATTTAAGTATTTTCCTCCATTCCTTTAAATATTTCCTTTCCCGGGGCGCCTGGGTGGCTCAGTCGGTTAAGCAGCCGACTTCGGCTCAGGTCATGATCTCACAGTCAGTGAGTTCAAGCCCCGTGTCCAGCTCTGCTGACAGCTCAGAGCCTGGAGCCTGTCTCAGATTCTGTGTCTCCCTCTCTCTGACCCTCCCCCGTTCATGCTCTGTCTCTCTGTCTCAAAAATAAATAAACGTTAAAAAAAAATAAAAAAAAATATTTCCTTTCCTATCCATATATCCCTTCAGGCAGCCAGTCAACATGTATGTTTGTATGCTTAGTGTTTCATACTCACAAAGTTCTATTTTTTTTTTTTTTAATGTTTATTTATTCTTGAGAGAGAAAGAGAACAGTGGAGAGGCAGAGAGGGGGAGATGGGATCCAAAGCAGAGAGCCTCATGCGGGGCTCGAATTCATGAACTGTGAGATCATGACCTGAGCAGAAACCAAGAAGTCAGATGCTTAGCCGAATGAGCCACCCAGGCACCCCTGTTCTTTTTGTTTTTTTAAATCTTTGTGTTTTCATTTAGGTAGTTTCTACTGCTGTTTTTGAATTCTTTTTTTTTAAGTTTGTTTATTTAAGTAATCTCTATACTCAACATCAGTCTCAAACTCACAACCCCAAGATCAAGAGTCACATGCACTTCCGACTGAGCGAGCCAGGCGCCCCAAGTATCTTTAATTCCTGATAATGTTCTTCTTCACAGTCTGATTGATGTTAATCCTATTAAGTGTATTTTTGTCTCCAGAAGTTTTGACTTGAGTCTTTCTCTTTGTTTTTTAAAGTATCTTCTATTTCTCTCCTGCTCATGCTTTGCTTTACATTCTTGAGTATGTGGAATACATTTTCTTAAATTTTTCTATTTATTTTTGAGAGATGCTCGGGGGCAAGGGCAACAGAGGATCTGAAGCAGGCTCTGCGCTGATAGCAGAGAGCCCTATGTGGGACTTGAACTCAACAAACCATGAGATAGATCATGACCTTAGCTGAAGTTGGACTCTCAACTGAGCCACCCAAATGCCCCAGAGCATGTGAAATACATTTTAAATAACTGTCTTAATGTCCTTGTCTAGTTCTGTCATCTATGTCCTTTTTGGGTCTGTTTCTATTCCTTCTTTGTTTGCCTGATAATTTTTTACTTATGTAACTTACCAGACATTGTGAGGTTTGTTGCAGTGCTGGGTTTTTGTTTTTTGTGTGTGTTTTGTTTTGATGAACATGAGTGGGGGAGAGGGACAAGAGTGGGGGAGAGAGAATCTTAAGCAGGAGCCACATGCAGGGCTTGATCCCACAACCCTGGGATCATGACCTGAGCCAAAATCAAGTCAGATGCTCAACGGACTGAACCACCCAGGTGCCCCTGTATGTATGTTGTTTGTTCTGACTCTGGGAGGCAGTTACTTGGAAACAGTTTGGTCCTATTGAGAATTGCCTTTATGTTTTGTTAGGCAGGCCTGGAACAGGTCTCCAGTGTTAATTTAACTCCATTACTAAAGCAGTACTTGCCCTGTGTGGTATAGGTCTTTCTACCTTGGCTATTGGGAACATGAGTTATTCTAGACCCTATGTGATATCTGAAGATTGTTTCATCTACTCATTTCTAAGTAATTCTTATATAGGCCTCAGTTTTCTCCAGCAGAAGCTGATTAGCAGTTAGCCAAAGGCTGGAGGGAATGTTCTGCAGATATCTGAGCTTGCTATCTCTTCATTCTGTCCTGTAAATTCTAGCCACCAAGGCCTCTCCAAGCCCCAAACTCTTGTCTCAATTCTGTGAGACAATACTCCTTTTGGGTTGCTCCTCTATGTTGTGAACAAAATTCTGTAGGCAGTAAGTTGGGGACACTTGTAGGACTCATCTCATTTGTTTCCCTTCTCTCAGATCACTGTCCTGTGCTACTACTGTTCAGTGTTGAAAACTGATGTTTCATGTACTTGGCCATTTTTTTTATTTTTTTGAGGTGGGAGGGTGAATCTGGTACCTGTTAACTTCCATCATGGCTAACAGTGAAAGTTAAATAGTACTGCACCTTACCCCTCATTTGTGTGGGATATAAAACATTTTGTGTATTTTTGTTGCCACTGGAGTACCTCAATGTTTGTAGCATGTATATGTAGCATTCATGTGTTTGTTTTTAGTGCTCATACTCTGTTTGGACATTTAATGTTACTACCACATTGTGTGGTCCATAGACTAATGTGGTTTGTGAACTGTTTGTTACTGGTCTACAGAGAGAAGTATAAAAATTTGGAGTAAGCATAATTTTTTAAAATTTATTTTGAGAAAGTGTGAATGGGGGAGGGCAGAGAACAAGAGGCAGAGAGAATCCCAAGTAGGCTCCATGCTCAGTGCAGGTTTGATCTCAGAACTGCAAGATTATGACCTGAGTGGAAATCAAGAGTCGGATGCCTAACCACCTGAGCCACCCAGGTACCCCTGGAGTGAGCATTATTTTATAAAAATCCATTTGATGGGGTGCCTGGCTGGCTCAGTTGGAAGAGCATATATATGCCTCTTGATCTCGGGGTTGTGAGTTTGAGCCCCACATTGGGTATAGAGATTACTAAAAATAAATAAAATTAAAAAAAATTTTTTTTAACGTTTATTTATTTTTGAGACAGAAACAGAGCATGAACAGGGGAGGGGCAGAGAGAGAGGGAGACACAGAATCTGAAACAGGCTCCAGGCTCTGAGCGGTCAGCACAGAGCCTGACGCGGGGCTCGAACTCACAGACTGTGAGATCGTGACCTGAGCCAAAGTCTGACGCTTAACCCACCGAGCCACCCAGGCGCCCCTGAAATAAATAAATTTTAAAAAATACAGCAAGGAGTGATTGTTAACAACAAAAAACCCATCTGTTGTACACTGGAAATAAAAAATCTGGTCCTTCAACCACTGGTAATTTGAGGAGCTATGTGTTGGAATCTGCCCAGAATGACTAACTTCACTAAGGGGTTAGACATCACTGGCTAGATCAGAAAGTGTTTGTAGATAAGGATCCAAAGCCATAATTCCAGGATTCTGGGCAGATTATCTGTCTGCTTACTTACCTGCAGCTAAATACTGCCTTTTAAACTGTGCCTCATCCCTATGGCTCTAGCTTTGAAGTCTCTCTATTTTCAACCCGGTTTTTCCCCATTCCTCAGGGCTTTTCATCAAACTTGTTGACTAATATATTCACAAAAGGATTAGGAGTTGGAAGCAAAGATTTGGGATTCTGCTGAAAGTAACTGACTTTTTTTTAAATTTTATTTTAATCTTCAAAGCATTTAAGCATTTTCTAGGACTCTGACTCCAATATAGTTAGTCCCCACCTGTCATGTAATCTCTCCTCCCTTTCTCTGTCCTTCTAAACAAGTGTCCCCTCTACTGTTTTAATGTTTGGTTGGAGACGGTCTCCAATGCATACAGTAGGCACTAAAATTAAAATGTCTGTTGAATTTAAATATTTACTGAATTGAGTAAGCTGTTTTTTCATTGATCATTTGTTTTGTCCATTTTGCTTGTGTTATTTCATTTCTTTATAAGTTTGTTACAGCTAAACAAGAAGAAAGTCCAGTTTGAAAAACTAATGGACTCCATTCTGTGTGTATGTGTGTGAGAGAGTCAGTAATTGTCTAATAGGAGAGCCCTTTTAATCTTCCATATCTTCCTTTTTATTTTAATTATTATTACTATTATTATTTTATTTTTTATTAAAAAATTTTTTTAATGTTTATTTTGGAGAGAGAGAGTGTGAGTAGAGGAGGGGCAAAGAGAGAGGGAGACAGAATCCGAAGCAGGCTCCAGGTTCTGAACTGTCAGCACAGAGCCCTATGTGGGGCTTGAACCCATGAACGTGAAATCATGACCTGAGGTGAAGTTGGATGCTCAACTGACTGAGCCACCCAGGCGCGCCCCTATTTCATTATTTTTTTTAAAAACTTTTTAATGTTTATTTTATTTTTGAGAGAGAGACAGAGTGTGAGCACGGGAGGAGCAGAGAGGGAAACAGAATTTGAAGAAGGCTCCAGGCTCCAAAAGTCAGAGACTTAACTGATAGAGCCACCCAGGCGCCCCTATAGCTTCCTTTAAAATTTTTTTTTTAATTTATTTATTTTAAGAGAGAGATTATTGGGGGGAGGGGGTGCAGAAACAGAGACGGAAGGAGGGAAGAGAGAGTGCCCACACGAGCATCCCAGGCAGGCTCTGCACTGTCAGTGCAGATGCCGGGCTCGAACTCCCAAATCATGTGATCATGACCTGAGCCGAAATCAAGAATCAAACACTTAAACTGACTGAGCTACCCAGGCGCCCCTATCTTTTTTTTTTTTTTTTTTTTCAACGTTTATTTATTTTTGGGACAGAGAGAGACAGAGCATGAACGGGGGAGGGGCAGAGAGAGAGGGAGACACAGAATTGGAAACAGGCTCCAAGCTCTGAGCCATCAGCCCAGAGCCCGACGCGGGGCTCGAACTCACAGACCGCGAGATCGTGATCTGGCTGAAGTCGGACGCTTAACCGACTGCGCCACCCAGGCGCCCCAATCTTTTAAGCTTCTATTTATTATCATATTTGTAGCTTTCTTGTGGTATGTACTCCCAATTCTAATTTATTGCTTCTGAGTAATACTTGGTAGTATAAAGTACCTGGTAGTCAGGTTGCCTCTTTCTGTGTGTTCTTTCTTTTCCTTTTCTCCATTTCACCAGTTAACAGCATTCTTGGGTCTCATTTGAGATCTGGTGTGCTTTGGGGGCACATTTATAAATGATATAAATGATATCCTTCTCTGGATATTACTTTTGGGATATACATGAAAACTGATAGTAGAGCAGGTTAAAATGGCAAGAATTTAAGTTAATACCAAATAATCTACAGGATTCCTAAGTAGTAACTTAAATCAACCATATCTTAAAGCCTGTCTAAATACAACTGTATTGTAAAAAAAATGCAAATACAATTGTATTGTAGCTTTTTCTCTCTTTATTTACTAATTTTCAGAATAATGCAGTGGTTTCCTATTATTCTTCAAAGATAATGAGTTCTTTTTGTTTGTGTCATTGAGAGTGCATCGATTTAAACATATTCGAAGTTTTCAATCCATTGTAGCTGTTGTTTTTTTGGTGCTCAAACTGACTCTTTTCACCAGTGGGATTTTATCCAGGCTGGCTCTTGAATCTGCTTTTGTAATATTTTTGTAAATTATTATGAAACATGTCAAATTTATAGAAAAGTTGCAAAAATGGCACAAAGAACTATTCATCTGCTTTTCCCTGGATTCCCCATATTTGCTTTATAATTCCTTTTGGCATGACCATAAGTATATAGAACTCCTAAGTCGTTATTAGAAATAGCTTTGTTGCTTTCTGGCATGAAAGCCAAAGTCACCTTTGTATTTTCCCTGTCCCAGCTTAGAATCTGTTAACTTCTCAATGGAATCTTGGTTCCTTTTAGTGAGGAATGGGATTTTAGGCATATAGTCTGGGTGCGAGGGGTGGGGTACTCATTGCTACTGAGTTGGTCATTATTTCTAGGCCTTTTCAGTAAACGCCACTATGAAATGTTTTTTTTTTTTTTTTTTTTTAATTAAAAAAGTTTGTAATGTTTCATTTTGAGAGCAAGCGCATGCTGTTTCTTTTTGAGACAGGGCAAGTGCGTGCAAGTGGGGGAGGGGCAGAGAGAGAGGGAGACACAGAATCTGAAGCAGGCTCCAGGCTCTGAGCTGTCCGCACAGAGCCTGATGCAGGGCTTGAACTCAGGAACCATGAGATCATGACTTGAACCAGTCGGTTTCCCAACTGACTGAACCAGCCAGGTGCCCCACAACTATGAAATGTTTTAAAGATACTTATTAAAACTTTTCAAAAAATGAATGTTCTTGAAAACTTTGCTTCTTTGTTTTTTAAAGAACAGAAAATTTATTTTTAGTGAGAAGTTAAGCAGAATGTGAGATTTTTCAGTAATGCATATGTTGCATTATAATAAATACTTCACTTTCATCCACCTAATCATAAACTTAAAGCTAGGATGTGACCATCACTGTAGTATATCTCATGACTAGCAAATACGTATTTAACAGATACTTGAATGAGTGAAGATTGAATAGAAGTAAATATTGGTTTTAAGATCTTAATATCCTATCAGGCATTTAATAAATGGTGGCTCTTCTTAAGGCTTTTTAAAAAAATTTTTTTAAATTTATTTTGAGAGAGAGCCAGAGTGTGAGAGTGGGGGAGGGGCAGAGAGAATCCCAAGCAGGCCCCACACTGCCAGCATAAGGCCCAACATGGGGTTGAACCCATGAACTATAAGCTATGACCTGAGCTGAAGTCAAGAACCGGATGCTTAACCAACTGAGCCACCCAGGCACCCTCTTTTTATGGCTTTATATTTTTCTTAATTTATGTAATTTCCAGGCTTAAAATAACCTTATTTTTGTTTCCTCTTAATGTTTCATTACAGGATTGAAGAAGATGCTCCTGCTCCCTCTACCTCTGCAGATAAAGTGGATAGGTAAGATTGTTTACAGAGTACAGTTAGATTTTATCTCTGGAACATAAACTTAAGAACTATATAACTTGAGGGCAGTGTCATTATTTATTAAAAATTTTTTTTTAATGTTTATTTTTTGAGAAACAGAGCATGAGTGGGGGAGGGGCAGAGAGAGAAGGAGACCGATCCGAAGCAGGTTCCAGGCTCTGAGCTGTCAAGACAGAGCTGGATGTGGGGCTTGAACCCACAAGCCATAAGATCATGACCTGAGCTGAAGTCGGATGCCTAACCAACTGAGCCACCCAGGCACCACATTATCATTATTATTATTATTTTAATTATTATTTTTTAAAATGTTTATTCACCCTTGAGAGAGAGAGAAAGAGAGAGAGAGAGAGAGAGAGAGAGAGAGAGAGAGAGAGACAGAGCACAAGCAGGGGAGGGGCAGAGAGAGAGAGAGGGAGACACAGAATCTGAAGTAGGCTCCAGGCTCTGAGCTGTCAGCACAGAGCCCGACACAGGGCTGAAGCTCATGAGCCATGAGGTCATAGCCACCCAGAGAAGCCCCTATACTTGTGTGTAATTTAAAGTATAGTCTTGGGCCACCTGGGTGGCTCAGTCAGTTAAGTGTCCGACTTTGGCTCAGGTCATGATCTCATAGTTCATGGGTTCAAGCCCCACATCGGGCTCTGTGCTGACAGCTCAGATCCTGGAGCCTGCTTCGTATTCTGTGTCTCCTCTCTGCCCCTCCCCTGCTCACACTCTTGTCTCTCTTTCAAAATAAATAAACATTAAAAATTTAAAAAATATATAAAGTATGGCATCCTCCTGACAGCGATGTCTTCTGGTTTTTCACATTGATTAAAATATTAAATTGTAAGTTACTTAGTTCTCCTTATTCATTACATGCCTGGCAAATGTTAACCTATCTTTGAATACTCATGAGCCGTGAGGTCATGACTTGAACAGAAGCTGGACGTTTATTTATTTATTTATTTATTTATTTTTTTTTTAGTGTTTATTTTTTAGAG